TATGTGGACTTTGTACACTGGTGTAAGTATGTGTTTTCAAAATAACGTAATGGAAAGAAGTGGCACTCATTGTTTATAGGAATATTAATTCTTTATTAAGAATCAGAAATATTCTGATTTTTAATGAATTCAGAGGTAGTCATGACCCCTACCCAACAAGACTTTATAGTCTTAGACAATATGTATGTTTTAATTTCTTAATTATAGTACAAAAGAAAGTCGCTGAGAAAACTTGTAAAATCATCTTATGCAACATCTATAAAAGGCTATGGAGTAGTTCATATGCGAAAGTATGATAAAACAATTTATGATCAATACAGTACAATATCTGCTTATCAATGATATAATGTAAAAGTCTGTAATGAAGTTAGACTGTCTCCCCAAATTTCTACTTTAGGTGCTGTGAACTTTTTTCTCTTGAACCATAATTTTCTCCCCTTCCACCCAGTCTAAATCAGTCATAAAATAGGCATCAACTGTATTATCACTGTGTAGAATAAGAACCAAATTTCTCAATAAGAAACTTTCCCTGTTACAGTGAGACAATATGCTATGTTCATTTTTCTATATTCCCTAGGAAAAGATATTTCTAATCTAGTGCCAGATATTTTTATTTTCTAAAGATAAAGCTAACCTCTCACACCATTTTAAGAAACATTACAAATGCAAGCCCTGCAAAGTTGCTTCTGAAACAAAAACATTGATTCCTTAGATTTTCAGAAATACTGAGAAGAAACTAATGTTTCTAATACCTCCAGTAGCTCTGTTCAATCACTCAGTTGTGTCTGACTCCTTGGGACCCCATGGACTACAGCACGCCAGGCTTTCCTGTCCATCACCAACTACTGGAACTTGCTCAAACTCATGTCCATTGCATCAGTGATGCCATCCAACTATCTCATCCTCTGTCTCCCCTTCTCCTCCTTCAATCTTTCCCAGCATCAGGTCTTTTCAGTTAGGCAGCTCTTTGCATCAGGTGGCCAAAGTATTGAAGCTTCAGCATCAATTCAGTTGGTGATGCCTTCCAACCAACTCATGCTCCGCTGTCGCCCCCTTCTCCTCCTGCCTTCAATCTTTCCCAGCATCAGGGTCTTTTCTAATGAGTCAGTTCTTTGCATCAGGTGGCCAGAGTATTGGAGTTTCAGCTTCAGCATCAGTCCTTCCAGTGAAAATTCAGGACTGATTTCCTTCAGGATTGACTGGTTGAATCTCCTTGTGGTCTTATAATGCTGGTACTTATAATGCTGAGGTTGTGAGTGGGGCTTCCCTGACAACTCAGTTGGTAAAGAATCTGCGTGCAATGCGGAAGACCACGGTTCTATTCCTGGGTTGGGAAGATCTGCTGGAGAAGGGAAAAAAAGCTATCCACTCCAGTTAATCTGGCCTCGAGAATTAGTCCATGGGGTCGCAAAGAGTTGGACAGGACTGCGCGACCAATAGCTCAAGTCTGTGATAAATTAAGCACTAAAATCAACACCGACACTTATCTGTAGAGACGTTTTTCTAAAACACTCCCCACCATTTAAACCCATTCATGTTAATATTTATTATAATAAGGAGGTACATGAGAAAAAGCTGTGTAACTTCATGAACGTTTTCTTAACTATTATAAATGGTCATTCTAGCTAGCCAGTGTTTCAGCTTTCAGGCCAATTCTGTTTATTGGTCTTTGATAAGTTATACAGCCTTTAAAATATTTAAAGATAGTGTTAACTATCCTTCTTCCACCTGGGCAATACCCAATAGTGGCACCAGAGTGTGGCATCTGACACCACTGTGGCGGATCATCATAGAATCACAGTCAAGCAAAGAAACGGAACATTTTACAGGTAAAGAAGCTGAACATTGGGTAGGCTGGATCTTAGGGCTCCTGCCTTCTAATTACCATTTTCTTTTATTTTTTTTTACATGTGCTATCTTTTCTCCTATCTTGAAAATCTTTGCCATATCAGTTTCTCTTTAAAAGGAGTTATACCTGAACTTAGAGGTTCTGAGGAGCATAACCACCAGCCTAAGAGGGTGGGGAACAGTAGAAAAGGTGTTATGCAGGGGAATGTGGGGATCTGGTTTGACTGTAGTCAGAATTCCATGGTTGTTTCTCCTTTTGAACAGGTCACTTGATGAGTGGAACATGTAGCTGGGATTCTGCTATACTAAATCCTTGCAGCAAATTTCACTTTCAAGCACAGACAGAGCTGTTGCTACAAAATAAGTACCTCAAACCTGCTTTGAACTAAATTCAGGTTTGGTTTATATTTGGAAATTTTCTAAATGGTTTTGATAAAATTTCTTATTTTGAAAACATTATTTCCTTCAGAAAGTTACGTTAAGGCTTAAGAACCAAATCAGATCTTGATTCATGTCCCTTCAAAAATTGCCCTCTTAGAAAAGTTAGAATGCCTAAATGCCTGCTTGAAAATTGTTTACAACTTGATAGACTCAATGTATGTAATAAACCAAAATAATTTCCTGCAATATTAATATATACTTTCAAGCATATAACAAATTATTGCTTATTTAAATAAAAATATTCAGATTATTACCAGATTTAAAAGAAGTCTACAAATTTTACTTTAACATGTATGATTTTGTGCATGTGGAATCAGCCTGGCACAGAAACAACTCCTAAATGCCCATGTATCTCCCTTTCATTTGTAGGTCTCAAGTGTGTGCCAAGTCCGGTATAGTTTTTGTTTCCAGATCGTATAGAACTTTCCATTTAAAATAAGAACTAAAGCAACTCACTTTCCATGAGGAATACACAACACTCAGAAATCTGCTTGCCACAGTTGCTATATTTTTCTGTTTGATAACCTCCCGACCCCCTTAACCTAATTCGTACATACAATGTTTTAAGAATAGCAGTTTGCTGGATCACTTAGTTCATTTATTCAGTTCTTGCCGTGTGCTAGGATTTGAGAATAAATAAATTTTCCAAACAAGTAGACCTTGGTCTCAAAGATCTCACACTCTACCAGAGAAAATCAGCCATGGAAGTAGAAGATCATAATACAGTGTGGTAAGTCCCATAACAGAAGTAACGTGTGTAATGTGGGGAGCAGAGAGGCAGGGCCCTCAGACCAACGGATGGGTCCATGGGGTGCAGTGAAATTGAGTGAAATGGAACAATGGTCAGCAAAGGTTTCCCAAGGGAACTGAAACCTGAACTGAGGTTTCCTTGTTTTAAAGGGAATCATCGATCTTTTATGTTTTACTTGTTTACTCTTAAGAGACTAGTCTTTATTTCTGTTGTAGTTTCACATCAAGGAAGAAAGATGTAATTTACATAGCATGTATGCCTTGAAACCTTCACTTTGTACTTTATCACAAAGCACCTTATGAAGCATTATTTTAATATATAATAGTTATCCTTATACATAAAACCTACCATTTTAACCAGTTTGAGTGTACAATTCAATGGTATTAAATACTTTACAACGTTGTACAACCGTCATCACTATTTTCAGAACTTCCTTACCTTAAACAGAAACTCTGCACCCAATAGACAGCCTTAACTGAGTTTTAAAGGTGGAGTGGGAAAGAAAATGTAGTGGGTCAGAATGGCATTGGCAGACACAGGGAACACACATGGCATGTTGTGTGTGTAGGAACTACACGCAGGTGATTGCTGATTGTTTTAAAGAGACCCCGTTCCCTAGAGCTACATGGAGGTGGCATTTGAAGAGGAGAAGGCTGGGAGCAAGAGACCAGGAAAGCTGTTGCTGTGATGCAGGTGAGTTATGATGGCCTCAACCTGGTGGTGGTAGTAGCCATGAAGAGAATGTAGCATCAATCAACACAAATAACAATCTTTATTGTTATTTGAAATCTTTGTTATTTGATAACATATGAAAGGAATAATTTCATATTTGAATTTGAATAATAATTTGAATCCTTTCAAATTCATTTCATATTGTTATTTGATAACAATCTTTGTTATTGTAAATGAAAGTCAGTGACTGACTGAATAGAGGGGATGAAGGAGCAGGAGGAGGTATTAAGGGTGACTTCCAAGTTTTTAGTTTGGTGCTATCAGTAACTGAGAGAATGCAGGAGGAAAAGCAGCTCTGGGGAGAAAAGTATGTACAATTTTTCAACATGATGAGTTTGAGGTATCTATGGGTCACATCCAGGTAGATGTGTCCAGTGGGCAGTCAGACCTGAGTCTGAAGTCCGGCCTTTGGGGGTCATCAGCATAACCGAGGACTGTGGCATCTGGTTTCAGAAAGGCAGTGACCCTTACTTAACCTATTATTTTGGGGGCTCTGTAGACAAATTTGTCATCCCATCAGATCTGTATTTTCTTGGGCTTCTGGGACAGGGTTGCCTATTTTCTCTTACATTTCTTAGAACATTGGCAGAACTTAATATTCCCAGTCCTATATCATTTCCCCCTGTACTGAAAATTACATATGGCACTATCTTTTCACACAGGGCACACAGGGCAAGGTCTTGCATGTGTTAATAATATGCCACATGCTCACTCAGCTGTGTCCGACTCTGCGACCCCTTGGACTGTAGCCCCACCAGGCTCCTCTGTCCATGGGATTTTTCAGGCAAGAATACTGGAGTGGATTGCCATTTCCTCCTCCAGGGGATCTTCCTGACCCATGTATGTAATAGGTAATCAATAAATATTCATCTTCATTGCTTATATTCAAATGGCTGTCTGTACACAAAATTAGTTCTTTATTTTTTTCCCTTGCAGGACCTTTAGCTTCTCAAGTTTAACTTCTTATAAATTTCTAAGACCACTTCAAGATTAAGTGTAAGTGAGCAGTACTTGATGGGCAGGTATCTTCCACGTTAAGACAATCATTCCTTTCATTATCATCATACATTGCTCTTGCAGGATTTCCAAACAAACATTTCTCTTCTTAGGGAAGGATCATGGAGTTTATCCAATCAAGGTCCCACAGAGGGAGTTAAGAGTTGCAGTAACCTGGCATGATTAATCCCTGATTCCAGGTGATGATGGGGGTTGAGTTTCACATTCTGCTTTATTTGAATAATATGTGAAAAAGAGTCACTAAAAATAAGAACAGACTGGGTTTTGTTGCAGCTGAGTGGCTTTCCAGTTCCCTGTAAAGAGGAATCCTGGGACATAAAGGATTTAATTCTGAGATATGCTCCGATTGCCCTCTGAATGGAAGTAAAATATCCTTTTTGAGAGCACTGAAGTTGTGGGATTTGTGGGGAATAGTCACCTCTATGAGATGTGGGTCATGTCCAGGGACTGTAACCTGAGAGGAAACAAGAAACAGTTATCTGAGTGATTTCAGATGTTTTGTGGAGCCAGCACGGAAAACTCTGATACCCACCACTAAAATGCAGCCTTTATGAAACACAGGTAACAACCTGCCAGGTCTCCCCAGGCTAGAGACAGCTTCAGTCCTGCTCGCTGAATGAGTTATCCTATCGATACGGAGTACTGTTGTTAATGCCGTTGCCCAGAATTACAAAGTGAAATAAAGACAGTTCCTTTATCTGGAGATGTCAGAATTCGAAAGCAACAGACTGATTTCTGTCCCCATCATTTATCATGGATTGCAAAGGTAAAAGAGTTGACTGTTTCTCTTTGTCCCAATCTGTACTTACTATCCTGATTTGGAATCAAGATTATTTATAAGTCAGAAAACTTTTCTCAATTTATTCCGTTTTCCTGCAACTGATTTTATATATTTGTGTGTGTGTGTGTGTATATATATATATATACACACACATAACGTTACTGCTTCCTTAAAAAGCTTTGATTTTACCCGGTTTTGTCCATGAATCTGAATCTTCAGCAGATTTATCTTTTTGGTGGAGGAAATGATCAGGAAAATAACGACAAGTGCTAAACTATGGGCTGTTATTTACTGCGAAATGCTTTCATTATATATGGTAGAGGGAGAAAAGAATGGAGAATAACATTTATATGACCACTAACTAGCATGTATTTAGTTATTCATTTCAGCTTCCACAGTCTTACCTTCCCCTTTTGTCCTAGAGTTAGTAACTAAAGCTGATTTGAGCTGCATTAGTCTAACTAATTGGAAATCAACGATTCCTAACTTTAAATTTTATTATAGTTGATTTACAAGTTTTTAGTTTCAGATGTACAGCAAAGTGAATCTGTTATACGTATACATGTATATCCAAGATGTGGCTTATTTATGGGGCCACACAAAAACAATTTAGATTCACCACAAGAAAAACCCTTTTTTTCATATAATGAAAATGTCACAGTAAATAACGGGGAAAAGGGGGCCATTTTTAGGCAAAGATTCATAGTGAGTTGGGTCTTTCCATTTCTGTTTATCTCCTCAGTAGGAGAGACACTCAAGAAAAGGGGAGCACCTCACTCCAAGTGTGCTGGGCACTTTGGGGACACCTATGGAGCAGGAGTTTTTAATCCTACAGAGTTTTACGAACTGAAAAGCATGACTTTTTTTATGTCCTAAAGACAGAGTAACTACAAAGCCAGTTTTTACTACAGAATAAATGACTACCTTCTCAGGAATGGCTCTGTATGGAATGTCTGCTGTGGCTGGCATTAGACCTACTAGACAAACTAGATATAACTTGACATTCTAGATAAAGCCACATCAAAAAGGAAGAGGCACAATTTGGCCTACTGAATCAGCTACTTACTCATTTAGTTCATTTGCATAAACCCACTTGGCCTCAAACTAAGCCATGCTCCTTACAGAAGAAAAGCCTTAGAAACATTCATCTAAATAGAATTAAAATCTGGAATTTTACTTGCATTGATTGAAAAACTCACCATCATCTGCTTATGAGATGGCTGCAAAAATATGTGTCACTTAATATATTGGTAAACTTTGTGGATCAAATTTTAACTGTAATGAATTCTAAGGAATTTGTGTCCTAATCAGTTTTTTAATAGAAGAAATTATGGTTCATGGAATAGGTGTTAAACTGGTATTTCATGAACCTTGGAAGAACTTTGACTATGTTGGTTGCTGTTATAGGGTTTGTTCTGTTTTTTATCACAAGAAATGTGATTTGGCTTCTATTTTAAAAATTTCCAGTTGGGGAAAAAACATGATTTTGAGTTTGTTTTTACTATTGCCACTTTACCCACTCCCTCTGACAGATGCAGATCTGACATTGACTTTTTATTCTGTCCTGATGTATCTCCTTTTACACATTCCAGACTTATTTTAGATTCTTTTTAGGTGAGTAAGTATTGAGTTCTATAGTATTTTAACAGCAGTAACTAGCATTGTATACTTACCTCTATTACATAGGATCCAGGCAAGAGGAGGAGGTAATACTCTCCAAATCTGTTGGTTCTATAGGGGCAGATATGTTTTCTGTCTTGGACTTCTACAGTTACATTGGATAATGGAGTCTTATTCTGATCAAAAACTCTGCCCTTTACACCTGCAAGACAAAAAAAGAATTAAGTGTTAATACCACATTGTGTGGCATGAGAAAAAAATTCCTATAATTGTAAGCCCAATATTTATTAGCTATCTTGAGTTAATAGAGTATTTGAGAAGGGATGGTAAACTGAAAAAAAAATTGAGATATAATAAAAATATATTAGCTTTAGGTATACAACATGGCTAAATATATGTATGTACTGTGAAATATCCACCAAAATATGCTCAGTTAACATAGTTACACTTTTTTCTTGTGATGATAACTTTTCTTATCAAATTTCAAGTATATATAATACAGTATTAACTATATTTACCATGCTGTACACTGCCTCCCCAGGACTTATTTAAACATATCACATTTTCTGTATCTATTTATCCATCTGATTAAGTTGCTTCCATTTCTTTTGGATAAATACCCTTAAGTAGAATTACTGGATCATACAGTAGTTCTGTTTCTAGTTTTTCTTAGAAGCTCCATACTGTTTCCGTAGTGCTGCACCAACTTACATTCCTATCAATAGTGCAGAAGGGTTCTTCCTTCTCCACATCCTTGCCAACACTTGTTACTTCTTGTCTATTGACAACAGCCATTCTAACAGGGGTAAGGTGATATATCTTATTTGTCTTTAACTTTTGACATATTAATTACAATATGTCTTGATGTGGGTCTCTTTTGGTTTATCTTATTTGGAATTCTCCAGGCTTCCTTGATCTGGATGTCTGCTTCCTTCTAGGAAGTTCCAGGTTAGGACACTTTTCAGCCTTTTTTCCCTTCAAGTAACTTTTCTCTTTCTCCACCTTCTGGGACCCCTACAATGCAAATGTTGGTCTGCTTGATGTTGTCCCATAAGTTCTTTAAGCCGTCTTCACTCTTACTCATTCTTTTTCTTTTTGCTGCTCTGATAGGAATTCATCCAGTCTTTGGATTTACTTACCTTTCTCCTGTCTCATCTAATGTGTTGTTGAACCCCTCTACTATATTTTTCAGCTCCGTGACTTCTATTTGGTACTTTCTTATATTTTCTTTCTGTTGCAATTATTTTGTTCATGCACAGTTCTGCTGAACTCAGCATCTTTATGACCACTATTTTGAACTCTCTATCATGTACATCACTCACCTCTATTTCATTAAGCTCTTTTCTGGGGTTTTATCTTGCTCTTTCATTTGGAACATAGTTCTCTGTGCTGACACTGTGTTGGTTTATATGTATTAGGTAAAACAGCCATCGCTCCCAGTCTTGAAGGAGTGGGTTCATGTAAGAGATGAACTTACCATTCAACCCTGCCCCAGCTCTGGGTTTTGTCTCAAATCTTTGTGATTACCGAAGCTGCTTACTTTAGTCTTAATGACTCCAGTAGTTGAGAGTGTGCCAAGACCTGTTAGTGTCTCAAAGGGGAATATTTTGCACAAAGGTTCAGGTGTCCTGGAAGTCAAACCCTCAGACAGCAGCTTTGAAGGTATACAAATATACCTCTTTCAGGGGAAGACTGGGAGATGAGTATTTCTGTCTGTTGCCTTTGCCCTGAGCCCTGGGGTGACAGCCAGTTAAGAACCATTTCTTTGTTTGATATCATCTCTTTGAACTCGTGAGAATCAGGCTATCAAAGAAAGTGTTCTCTGGGTAGTAGCCTCAAAAGCCAAGGGACTAGATGGGTATACAAGCTCCTTTCTTGAAGACATTGGTGACCAGGGGTAGGGCACAAGTTAGAGTGAAGATGGTGCCCAGTGACATCTAGAGATGATTGTAATCAGCCACTAGATGTATATTTAAGTAGAAGCCTGCTCCTTAGGCCACGACTATGAAGATAAACTAACAGTCCTCTTTCACCAAAAGACTTTTTTTTTTTAACTGCTGCCTCTCCGCTGTGTCCTGGGTATAGCTGGTTAAGAACTCCTTTTCTGTTTGTTACGGTCCTGTGGGATCCATGCACACAAGCCCTGCTGGTCAAACAGAACCAGGAGATGAAGGGGTGGCCGGCCACTCTAGAAAACAGTGCACCAAACAAGCGTACAAACTCCTTTCCAGGAGACATGGGGATCCTGAAGGGAGGTGAAGGGACAGGGCAAAGAAGGCAGTCTCCGTCTTTGGAGAGTATTTCAGCTGACCCCTAGATATGTGTGGAGTGAAATGACTGCCCCTGGGGCTGAAGCTTTCAGACAGGCAAATAGGCTGCTTTCGCAGAAAGACTGGGCACTCTTCTATCAGCTGCCTTAGCACTAGGTCCTGGGGGTGGCCGGGTAAGTCTGTGTGATTCCTTTAAGAACCGTTTCTCAGCCTGCTGTAGCTTTGTGGGTCTCATGTACTCATGCCCTCTCATTTTCAAAGCTATATGTTTCAAGAGTCTCTGGAAGGAACCAGTCCTGCTGACACCTGGACTTTAGCCCAGTGAGACTGGTATTGAACTTCTGACCTTGAGAACTGCACATTTAAATTCACTGTGATTAGAGAGGAGACAAGATGATGGAGTAGAAGGACAAGAGCTCACCTCTTATGGAAACATCACTGACAAAAACAAAACAAAACAAAACTGGAATCTACCAAAAGAGATACCCTACCTTCAAAGAAAAAGAAGAAGCCACGACGAGACAGTAGGCAGGAGGTATAATCGCGATAAAACCAAATCCCATACATGTTGGGTGGGTGACCCATAGGCTGGAAAATAATTATACCACAGAAGTTCTATAGGATTGAAAGTTCTGAGCTCCATATCAGGCTCCTCAGTCTGGGAGTTGGGCAAGGGGGAGGAGTCATCACTAGAGAATCTAGCTTTCAAGGCCAGTGGGGTTTGATAGCAGGAATTCCACAAAACTGGGGGAAACAAAAATTCCATTATTGGCGGGCACGCACAGGGTCTCATATGCACCAGGACCCAGGAAAAAAGCCAAGACCTCATAATCGACTGGGCCAGACTTACCTGCTAGTATTGGAGGGTCTACCGTGGAGGTGGGGGTGATGGCTGTGGCTCACTGCGGGGACAGGGACACTGGCAGTGGTAGTTCTGGGGAGTTTTCATTGGCACGAGCCGTCTGGAAGGCTGCCATTTTCTCACCAAGACTTGTCTCCACCCAAAAGCCTGTAGGCACCAATGCTGGGAAGCCTCAGGCCAAATAATCAAAAGGGTAGGCATACAGCCTCACCCATCAGCAGGCAGACTGTTTAATGTCTTCTTGAGCACACAGCTGCCCACTAACCACACCCCCTGACACAGCCCTGCCCACCAGGGGGATAAAACCCATCTCCACCCACCATTGGGCAAAAATCAGTCCCTCACACCCGGAAACCTATACAAACCTGTTTAAGACAGCCTCATCTACCAGGAGGCCAACAGCAGAAGCAAGAAGAACTATAACCCTGCAGCCTGTTGAATGGAAGCTGCAATCGCAGAAAGTCAGACAAAATGGCAGAGAACTATGTCCCAGATGAATGAACAAGATAAAATGCCAGGACAAAAACTAATTGAAGGGGAGATGGGCAATCTACCTGAAAAAGAATTCGGAGTAATGATAGAAAAGATAATCCAAGATCTCAGAAAAAGAATGGAGGCATAGATTGAGAAGATACAAGAAATTTTCAACAAAAACCTAGAGCTAGAGAACAAAGAGATAAAAATCACTGTAATGAAGAAGTATCTTAGAAGTAATCAGTGGAGTAACAGGCAGAAGAATGGATGAGTAAGCCAGAAGGCAGAATGGTGGACATAGACTGTTGTAAGAGACAAAGAAGGACACTACACAATGATCAAGGAATCAATCTGAGATGATATGACAATTGTAAATATATAGGCACCCAGCATAGGACCACCTCAGTATATAAGGAAAATACCAACAGCCGTAAAAGGAGAAATTGACAGTAATAGTAGGGGACTTTAATACCCCACTTTCATCACCGAACAGATCAGTTAGAGAATCAATAGGGAAACATAGGCCTTAAATGATACATTAGACCAAGGTGTATTCTTGACACCTTGAAATTTCAAGAATACAGTTAGGCCTTAAATGATACATTAGACCAAGGTATATTCTTGACACCTTGAAATTTCAAGAATCCAGTTAATCAAAGGCCATATATATTTTAAGACTCCTCTCATTTTAAATCCTATTTTCCCATCTCAGTTTGTCTACTTCGTTGACAAGTCATCTTATCTTAATGACATAAATGAGAAGAGGCCACAATGATAAAAGTTATTAAATTCCATATTTCCTTCTCATTTTTTTCAATGTAATCAAATCTAAACCTCCACTTTGATTTTTTTCCTCTTTTGCATTTAAAAAATATAGGTTCCATTTATACTTATTCCTACTAGAGCTGACCTTTGAACAATGCAAGTGTTAGGGACATCGACCCTCCACACAGTTGAAAATCCACATATAGCTTTATGGTTGGCTCTCTCAGCACTGGCAGAGTCCACCAACCATGAATTGGGTATTACTAGAGTACATATTTAGTGAAAAAACAAAACCAGTCCCCCACCCCACCCCATGCATATAAGTGTATTCATGCAGTTCATACATTGTTGTTCAAGGGTTATATGTATCCTTTTGGTCTTCAGGTAGTACTCAACTGTTAAACATCAGTCATAATTTAGTAACCTGATTCTGTATTTATTCATTGAATTTCAGTGGCATTCTTTTTTTGAAGAGAGATTCCCATTATGTCCCTAGTCACTAAACATTCCCAAGCCTCAATTCCATCACCTATAAAATGGGCATATTATGTATATACTTCCAGGATTGTCATGAAGATCAATACAAGAGGAGGCTCAACAAATATTAATACGTTTCGTAATCCTTCTCTTATTTGGATAAGAAAAATGATACAAAGGAATAGAAAAACCACAGCTATGTAAGTTTGAAGTTGAATAGATATACATAAGTTGCTGGGATCTCAATTCAACTTTGTTCCTCAAGAGCAAGAATATATGAGGAAAGAAGCTATGCTTAGATCTTCCTTCCTTAGGTCTCTGAACTAGTTTATAGTCTTCCTACCACTTAGAAAA